AAAAAAATAATATTCCCAACTTTTTCTTTGCACCATTTGAAAATGCTTCTTCTTTTATTTTTCTCCCGAATACCTTTTACATTTAAGGATATCAAATTGCAGACGGAAATGTTAGTGTTACTCATCATGCGCGTGTTGAGTAGATAATATAGGTGGATGAGAGATGGAAAGGTTGTTGCCCACATTCAAGCCATATAAAACTAACCAGATCAAAGGCTGCCACAAACTGTCCCCATTGAAAAAAAAAGAAGAATACATTAAACATTTACATAACATATAACACACACAATAAAACCTATGTAGAAAAGACATGTCTACAAATAAAGTTGCACCTATTTCTCCTCCGCTCACAACCACCGCCTCACCCCCCCCCCCCCAGCTTCTATCCTTTCTAATACCTTCTTTATACAATCATTCCAATACCGGCTACATGCATGCGCTTCATTAAACCTAAACATTTTTGTATGCAGTAACCACTTCTGTAAATGAATGTCAATGAGCATCTATGTGTTTGACCAGCACAATGAACTCTTTCCTTTTTCTCTATATAAAGAAACCAAAACAATCATTAAAACATCTAGTATGGAGTAACCAATTCTATAAATGAATGTCAATGCATGCGTGCACTTCATTAAACCTAATGAAATGAATGAAACAGATCATGGGTATCGATCTGTAATTGATATATTGTTCAGGGGCGGGGGATGATCTATTCTTTCATCCCCCCTGAACAATATGTATTACGTAAGGATCGACACCCATGAAACAGATCATTGCTTGCTGTATATTAACCTGTCAATAACTACTCGATCACAAAGAAAAAGAATTCAGCAAAGGTGCCCCCCCCCTTGCTTCTTCAGTCAATGACAAATTATTTCCCTCCTTTTTAGGGGGTACCTCTTTTACTCAATTGGGATTCGCATTGAAATCTTTGCATGGGTGCATTTAATTCTCTATTTTTCATTTGGGAATATTTGTATTGAAATATTTGCATGACTGTGCGCATTTCGTTTGTGTCAGTGCTGGCATTGGTGAATGATATAACAGGCAGGTAAGCCATTCTATAAGCTGTGTGATGAGGACTGCAAGCAGTTTGCATACGATAGGACGAAAAGTGGGTTTTAAGTAAGTTGGTTTGTTTATTATGATTGTATTTCATTTAAATTATTGGAATTATACCTTGTATCCTACAAGCATTACTGATGAGTGTTATCAATCGAATCACGTCTTTCATAGTAATTGAGAACAATGATGCTTACTTCTTTGAAATACTTTTGTCAATTATTTTGTTATATGATATAAAGGTGTTGCAGTATAATTGTGTTTAATTGAACAAATCATCCTTCGTAATGAAAACTGACCATAAATCTTAAGTTACCATTAACGTTATAAATTAGGGCGAGTCGCATTTGAAAGCGGAGAATTTCTGCTATTTTGTGGAGTAGAAATTATTTCTGGGGGCCTTTTAAGCCCTCTACCTCTCGTTCTTGAATGTTGTTACGCATTCATTCTCTGAGACAGAAGTCTATATCAACACAGTTGTTGATTTTAAAAAAATATTTAAACCCCCTTTTATTGTTGTTTTGTTTTCTTTTCTCCCTTTATATAATGTTTCTTCTCTCTATTTCACTTTCTCTTGTCTTAAGTTGAAGTGTTTACAATTTGCTTATTTTACTTAATCTATTGTTGTGTGCTTATAATATTTTTATTTCTTTTTGTTTTGTTTTTCATTCTGCAATGGGTGATCCAACTTCAAAGGTTTTTGTAACCTTCATGGAAAGCCCCACATATAACCTATGTAAACATGGTTAACTTAACGCAACTTTGTATATTTTGATTTTTTTTTTTTATTGCGAAATTGAATTGAATTGAATTGAATTGATTTGAATATGGCAGATGCCCCAATTTTGTGTTGATACGTGTGCACGATCATGCTCAAACGGCTATAATATCTGAATGCGCCAACGTATCGAATTGGGGCGAGCAGATCTGGAGACTTCAAATCTTAAGCTAAAAGCTGATGTCAAAATCATTGGCATTGGTCCAATAACCTCACTGCCTTGTTGTTTCCAAATTTTTCACCAATTGACGAAAAGCTCTGATAAATCGACAACTAGCCATGACGTAATGGGAGATTCCATTATTGGTTTGAGGGGTAGCAGCATATATAGGACAGTAACTTGCGATAAGCCAATATTCAAGATTGAAATCATTGGAAAAGTGCCTGATTTCTTTAAATTTTGGAGCATTATGTGAATCCTACAGTAAAGTTATTAGTTCAATTAATAATATAAGTTTCATTAAGTCGAGTATTACTTTATAAATACGAGTAACAAAGTAGCAAAATATAGCTTTTTCTTCGCCATGCTCCGCAGTCAACCATGTTTCCTTTCTCACTCGCTCTTATAGTTCATGATATCGGACAGAAGAAGAAAACAATCATTGCAATTTATTGTGTATAATAAATGGGTTGATGATTGAGATTTAGTTGCATGATATTACAAGTTCATGAATAAATATTTGTCTTGTTGGTATCAATATCATTGTTTCGTTTATGTAAGTTCACCACGATTTAAATGTTTTGTTCAAACAATAACTTTGTTATTATTGTTACGGCTGTTTAACGAGGAAGAAAACAGTAAAGTGAAGACTCAACTTCAGAACTTCTGACTCCTGGGGGGTGTTTCACAAAGATCCTAAGTAGAACTTAACTCTAAGTTGGACTTAAAAATTATGGACAGCCATTGGAGTCTTAAAATGAAATACATTCAAAAGCAGAAATTCAAGTATTTTAGACTTTTTATGAATTCCACATCCAGAACATGAAATCTCCTTGATGATAGACAATATGAATGATTTGAATAAACAATTAATGCCTTTCAAAATAACTTTTACAAAATATTTTCAAAGATGCTAATGGCTTTCCATAATTTTTAAGTCCAACTTAGAGATAAGTTCAACTTAGGATCTTTGTGAAACACCCCCCTGGTGCACTATTTTGTCGTCAATTAGCTAAACCCCTTTCACTCAGATGATGTATTACCATTTAGAAGACATAGTATTTTTATTGTGTTTGTTTTAATACATATTTTATTCTCCATTGCTACCTGCCTTAAATATCTTTTTCATATCTTGTTCATATTGTGATTGTTCTTTGACTTTAATCACTAAAACTTGAGAAAGAAAAAACACTGCCTCGAATTATTTGTGAGGTATCAGATTAATATCATGTATATTGCACGCACATGACATAATTTCTCGAGTAATTTTACCTGTAGAGAATGCTCCAACACAAAAGTAAGTTGGCCAAATCTCCGTTGGTTGAAACTAAATCAAACAAGACTTCACTTTTGTACATAATGTATACTATTACCTCAATCCTGATCCTAAATCTAACACTATGGCATTATCCATGTGAACCCTATTGGTATAATATTCAAAAGCTATGCTTTGCCTTATTTTTTCTTATTTTTTCTTATTCTCGCAATACAACCCCCCCCCCCCCCCCACACTCCGAGAACGGACGGACCCCATGCGTGTTACCAAAATGTCCGGTAAAGGGGTACTTTTCGTGCGACAAAGTCCGGCCCGAGAATTGTAAAAAAAAGGGGTGTATTAACTTTTTACCCGGAGATTTCTCTAAAAAGGGGATGTTTTTATTCTTTTTTTCCCTCTCATCTCTTTGGACTCCTGAGTAATTATTCCAAATTTAGGGGGGTACATTGAGCATTTTTCATGATTTAGGGGGGTCTCCAAGGCAGGAAAAGCCCGCGAAAAGCCCACGAAAAGCCCGCGAAAGGGGGTTCATAAATGTTGGCAGTCCTCAGATAGGGGGTGCTTTCAAAAAGAGGGAACAAGCATGCGTACCCTAAAGAACACTGAGTGGGGGAGGGGGGGGGGGGGGAATGCAAAACATCATTATAATCATTGGAGAGTTCTATCATTTTAATGCCACTAGATATATGTTAGCTATGTTCATGTCAAAATGTTCTATTCTGTATCCATCTGTATCTTATTGATGTTTATAATCTGTAATCTTGTACTGACATGCAAACTAAACAAATTTCCAATCATTGGACAATAAAATTCGAATATCGAGTATTGATATGTATAAATATTAGAAATTGAATGATGAGCGCCAAATGAATAAAAATAATTTGTTAAATATCATGCATAATCATACGTTAAAGGTACTATGTCCCATTTGCAGGTTAAAAATGAAAAATGTTAAATTCCAACAGCATTTGAAAGACAATACTTATTTAGTACCTCCCTCAAAACGAATGGGTTTTAGAATGGCTTTCTGTACCGAATGGTCTTACGTTATGTATTGCACAAAGTTTCCATCAGTTTAATTTTGGCCAATTCAAGTGGTGGGTTATTGATGTAGACAAATGCTCATGAACATGTTACAGCAGGGAGAGTTTAAATCCACATCTCCCTGGTTACAGCTCATTGTATGTATGTTAATAGCAAAGAAAAAATGATGTCAGTCAGTCACTCAATAGTGTCTGACAGGGAAGTCTAGAAATTAAACGGGTTTCCTTGCATAATTTGAATACTAGGACACTGCTAACGTTTAAATTTTACAGATAGGACATACATGCATATTCATAATTCCTGCAAAGTTCTACATAATTTGATGTTGGCTGCAAAAGGGACATAGTATCTTTAAGTAGTAGTAAAATTAAGCTAGGTTTCGTTTACATATCACAGTAGACTATATTGGCAGCTTTGAGAAAAGTGCGTTTGTTAATTTGTACGTTTGATGTTCAAACAATGCTATGTGAACAGTGACTAGCACGTCTTGTTAAGAAGTCTACAATATATTGTTAATAATTCAGGGTGTAGTGGTTGAACACAAATGGTTTTTTGTATATGTGTGGTGGTCCCAGTGCCTGATACTAGTATTTGAGAACAATTGTTGTAGACTTACATCAGCCCAAATTTGAAAATGATGTTGTCATTCACTCTTTTCCAGAACTATTTTCTGTTGAACGACTGTTTGCGACTGTAGGCCAAGATGGTGTATGATGTCTGCATTGTAGGAGCTGGAATGGTGGGGTCAGCTGCAGCCAAATGGCTCTGTAAACTGCAACGAGAAACCAAAGTCTGTCTGATTGGGCCTCAAGAACCAACCGAAAAGGTGAATTGAGTTACCATTTTTGTTAATTCCCATTCAATATCAATGGATTACAAATAACAGGACACCCGATGCATTTTTTTACTAGAGCGACACAAACAAGCTGGTGGTATATAACCCATTATGTTTATAGGGCAAACAAGGTTCCTATCTTTTTTTTGTGGAAAATTCAAATGAGATTGTAAATAATTATATAGTCACAGAGAGATACTGTTGGTCCGACACTAGCTCCTGCAACAATTGCTCTGAGCTTTATTCATCGACAGACGATAGTATATAGGATTCTACGGTTGGGAAGTCCACTGCCCCAATTTTTTTTTAACACGTTAGCCTGGCCATTTTTGTGATAAATACCATGGAATGGAAGCGGCTGATATTAGAGTCTAGGCGCCCACATACACATGTACATCAGCGAGCAACCAATGACAATAACAATTTATTCTCATGTCACCCACATTGGGGGGTATGGGGTATTGGAGAAGTTTACAATCAGTTAGAATTTGTCAATTTAACACTGCACAATATATCTCTCCCTCTTTGGTTTATTATTAACCACCCCCGCGCCCTCTTGTTAATTATGGAAGCAATTGTGAATGAATTAAGTTACTGGCACCAGTACATTTTTATTTGAATTAATGAATATTATTAACTATAAATATAACTGATAAAAAATAAAAACACCCTCAACGCTAAAATACAGACAGTCGTTGCCTTTCATTCTCACTCTCACTTTCGATGGGTCTATTTTCGGGTGCTGTTGTTCTTGAATTATTGAATAAAACTTTTCACTGAAAGATTATATTTGTATTTGGCGTATACATGAAATTAATATTTAATTTGTTGTTGTTGTAACGACCACGATCTAGGAATGGGAAGACGGGAGGCGGGAAGTTTTCGCATCACATTACGATGAGGGCCGTGTGACAAGAGAGCTGGATGCGGATTATACATGGGTGTTGCTAGGGCAACGGTCTATCGAAAGCTACAGAGAAATCGAGCAAGAAAGTGGTAGGTTTTGGAGATAGTTTATGGGATATATACGCTTGAATGTTTGTCTGTGTTTTTTTCTTCTAGCCGTCTTATTATTTAATGTGATACAAAAACACCACTTCAACTTCGTTTTAAAAAGACATGACATCGATATATAAATAGTTCAGGTCAGAGCCGTTCTGTCCCATACGTTGCCGACTAAGATTTCAATATACATGTATCTGAAAAGTGTCGAGCTGATAGCCCTACGAGAATCAGACAAATATAAAATTAATTAAATTTTTTATGTCACGTTCACAATTCCATAATAGAATTCCATAACATCTTGTAACGTTTGGGAGATTGATTGATTGATTGATTTTTATTCGACAAGCTTCCAACATACAACAATATACAATAATAACAGATCAAAAAAAGTAAGCTTGAACAGGATAACCCACGAAAGCTCGAGAGCTTATTTCCAGTGGGGTCCCTTCCGGGGTCCCTTACAGACATGTATAAAATTAATAAGTTAAAATAGTAATATTTACAGACAGATAAGAAAATTAAAAGAACTAATTATTAAAGATAATAAAAATAACAACATTAAACTGATGATAGAAATGATATTAAGTACAAGAAGAAAAAGAAGAAGGAGAAGAAGAAAAGGAGGAGAAGGAAGAAGAGGAAAATAATGATGAATTTGTAAAATTTCTATAACGTACGAAAACATAAGTATATACAACATGAAAAAGTATGAACCGACAGAAGAATAAAAATTTCAATCATATAACATGTCATTCACTTCTCTACTCTGACTGTCAAGTATTAGGTATTCCTTTAATTTCCTCTTAAAATGATCATAGTTTCCTATTTCTTTTACACCATTGGGAAGGGAATTCCAATGTTTTATGGCATTGTAATAAAACGAATTTCCAATACTACCTACTCTTTCAGGTAAGTTAAAGTTGAATCGTCTATTTCTTGTATTATAATCATGTACGTCAGTAACAAGATCGAAGTTGGATCGAATATAATGATTCAACCTAGTATGATATATTTTATGCACATGATGCAATACGAGTTGTTTTGATCTTTGGTCGACTTCAAGAAAACCAGCTTTAGAAAGTTCGCTGTAGCCAACATGAGTTCTTGGACCAGAACAGTTGATAAATCTCACCATTTTGTTCTGTATAATCTTCAACTTCTTTTGATCTGACTTGTTTATGTTACTATACCATGCAGGGTTAGCATAGTCAAATAAACATTGAATAAGAGCAAAACAGAGTGTACGTCTTGCTTTTAAATCCATACAACTTTGATATCTGTACAAAAATTTCAGACGAGAATTTGCTTTTTTTACAACTGATTCTACTAAAGATGAAAATGAAATTGCGCTAGCCAACTCAATGCCTAAATACTTCACAGACTCTTTTCTCTTGATTGCTTGATTATTGTGTGTCACTTTGAATTCAAATGACTTTTTAAGATACCTTGGACTTGCCAAATAGTATTTTGAATATAACTATTTATCTGTAATCATTATAAATTATGTAGTTAGGAATATTGGTGTAGGCGTATATGATTAAACTAAAAGCGCAAGCGTCTGCCAGTGTGTTGTGAATAAAAACGAAAATACCTCATTATCCTCTATATTCAAATAGGAATCAAGTTTTACCACGAGGTGGGCTGTGCACTCATTGACACCAAGGGAAACCAACAGATGCAGAAGTACAAGGAAACTGCTGGAAAATTAGGTGTCCGTCACGAAATCTTCAACTTTCAGTCTTTCCAAGGCAAATTCCCTTACCTTCGCGTGAACCGCGACAGCGAATGTGTATGGACGGCCAAGAACGCCGGACACATCAGTCCTCGAAAGCTCGTCGCCGCCCAGCAGAAAATTGCGTCATCACTCGGTTGTCACGTGATCCATGAAGTGGTGACAAGCATCACTGATGTGACGTCACAAGATGGAGAAACGGTCGTCAGAGTATTGTTTGAGAATGGGAGGGAGATTTTTGCCAAGCGTGTTCTCCTTTGCACGGGAGCGTTTACTAATTTCCATAGCATTCTGCCAGGGGATAGGAAGATCGATCTTAACTTGCGTAGGTCTTTTGTAGTGAAGGCCGAGTTATCGGAACAAGATGCTATCAAGATGTTAGATATGCCCAGTATCTTCAACACTAACAAGAACTGTTACGTGCTACCGCCAATCAAATACCCCGATGGTAAGATTCATATTAAAAAATTTAAAAAAACATTATTTTAATGACAAAAAAACGACACAAACCAAAATTCAGAAAATAAACACTCATATTATGGCATTTTGTTATCATAGTATAAAATGATATCAAAACTTATGACGATTGTGAAAACCAAAATTACGCCCGTAGATAAGAATAATCCTCTTTTTTTTCTTCCTGCGATTATATCGATCCATATCATTAATATTCTAATGAGATGATAATATAAAACCCCGCAGATTTATAATTGCACATAACTATGAAAACAAATCAGTGAAATTTTAGAATTTTGCTTTCCTCTTCTTAAAGATGATCGTAAAGATATAGATAAAATGGATTTGTTCTAATAATCGTCAAAGAAAGCTTCGATAAAGTTGTCCATTACCAATCAAATCACCATCTCGAGATAATAGATGTATCTGTGTACTCTTTTCTTTGATTTCTCAGGGAAGTACTATGTGAAGCTTGGACTGTGGTTTAGTTTTGAAAATAAATTCAGTGATCTACAAGGAGCGGCGGAGTGGTTCAGAAGTCATGGGAAGAACTTTGATGCCTCAGAGGCCATCAATAAGCTCCGGGAGCTGATACCAGGTAAGAATGCTCGAAGGGAGAGTGATCGAGAGAGAGAGAGAGAGAGAGAGAGAGAGAGAGAGAGAGAGGGGAGAGAGAGAAAGTACGTTGACACGCATGATCAGTCGGCGTTCGTCGTGTTCTCGTCCACTCAATCTAAAAGTCCCTTATGATGAAGCAGTGTGCTACAGGAGTCAAAGAGGACAGAGAGGGGGAGAAGGAGGTGGAATACAGATAAAAAGAGAGAAAGAGGGGGAGGGGAGCCGATGGGTGAATCCTTTTTCTTTTAACCTCGAAATAAAAGAGCAATTTATTTTCATTCAATTATTTATACATCTGACGTTCTAAACAATTTAAGAATAAGTCACTAAAAAAAAGTGTAATATATTCTTAAGACCATGTTGAAAAATAACCAAGGCCTACTTGGATTTTATCGACGGCCCCCCCCCCCCCCAAGAAAAAAAAAACAAGCACAAAAAAGTACAATCAAACATAATGAAGAATGCTGTGGATGGGGTTCATGTTTATTATCTTCATCATGAAAATGGATCATGTCTTGTAACCACCCCCCTTTTTTTTATGTGAAAATAGGAATCCGGCCAATTTCTCTGACAACGGACTGCTGCATCTCTTCGGTCACCCCTACCGGTCAGCTCTACTGTGACATGTTGACCTCTCGCCTCGGCGTCCTGATCGGTATGAACGGCAAAGGAGCAAAAAGCAGCGACGAAATCGGACGTATGGGCGCAAACATGATTTCAAAAGGGTCGTGGAACTACGACTTGAATCAAGACCTGTTTAAGGTTCAATATAGGAAGAATTCTCCAAAGAGCTTACTCACGGGAAAGCTCTAGAAGATAAAGGTGTTCGTCAGATTTAAACCACCACCTTGTAGATATATTCTCCATTGATCTCGGAGATACTAATTATTTTATTAACCCTCCGCATTTGAAGTACAATAATAGTGCCTCATTTAATATATGCCTTATTCTAGAATATACAATTCTGCGTCATCGGTGTGTTATTAGATCAAATCAGAGCTCAGTCGCAATAAGAATACTGCCTAAAGGCGATTGCGACCATTGTGTTTCGTACATCATAGGTCTTTTTACAGCCGGTCGGAACGCACCTGGCAATCACAACATTTCTTGGGAGTGTATTGGTTTACCTATTTTGTATGACTTGCATAATTAGCGAGACCTCTCTCTTTCTCTCTCTCTCTCTCTCTCTCTCTCTCTCTCTCTCTCTCTCTCTCACACACACACCCCTTCTCTCTCTTTCTTTCTCTCTCTTTCTTTCTTTCTCTCGCTCTCTCTCCCTCTCTTCCCCTCTCTCTCTATCTATCTCACCCTCTCTCTCTATGGTGATAGGTTATCTTGGTGTATTACGCATACTACTAAGAATAGATTGATAGATATGATGACGGTACCTAAATGTAAGGTGAGGTATATGTAATTGGGAAAAGTAATATTTCAAAAGAATATTGTGTAGGTTTATGTTATTTTTTACAACCTATCTGAACTCACTTGGAATCACTACAACACTTGGAGGTGTAATTACTTTAGATTAGGAGACGTATATATAACTTGTTATAACGGGACCTCTTTCTCTCTCTCTCTCTCTCTCTCTCTCCCTCTCTCTCTCTCTCCCTCTCTCTCTATCCCCCTCTCTCTCTATCCCCCCCTCTCTCTCTCTCTCTCTCTCTCGATCTCCCTCTCCCTCTCTTCAACTCTCTCTCTCTCTCTCTCTATGGAGATAGGTTCCCGTGGTTGATTACTCATTAAGAAGAGATTGATAAATATGACCACGGTATATAAATGTATAGTGAGGTGTTCCTTACTAAGATTTTCTTTTGTTTTTTGTTAGGAATTATTAATGTTTTCATTAAAAAAAAACTGACGTTATGATGTTATCTTTTTTTTGTGTGTGTATTGTAATTGTTTAACCCTGCGTAAGATGCATCCAATGTAATTCAAATCTCGGTCCTGGGTCTTATGTAACATCTTTTTTTACTAGTTATATGTACTTTCTTGAATAAAGATGAATAAACAACATTTATTAATTTATTTCATTTAAAAATGAATAATCAAACTTAAGTCAAAATGAATTGTTTCTTGACAAACCATCAAATGGAGGGGATAGGGGTCATTGGTGTTATGGGGAAGGGGCACAACACATACTAGAAGGATGCAATGGTAGGGAGCGAAGTTATCCAAGCGATTGGGGAGGGGGTGTCTAATGGGGTTGTATCATTATTTATCATGATGTCTTCTCCATCCGATGTTTTTTCTCTCTTCTTTATATTTTTGTTTGCGTTATTCGACCTCCCCCCTTAACCTACACGTTTATTGATTAAGGGCAGTAATATCCAATTTAATGACCAATAGTTTAATATGAAATTACATGTTGCTCAAGTCATATTCAATGGAAAAACTAGAATTGTGCTGTAATGTTTCATTTTAATGGCTTAAAAAATCAAGATAAATATTATTTCAGTTTTTATAATTTTTGCATCGCTTAGACCATGGAGTTACTAGGGACTTTTAGAATTGCACGTTGACAGCCTTGACTGCAACGTGTGACGTTATTTTAAGGCACTGCGCATGCGTCACGTCGTCTCAGTCGGCGATCGAGAATGCGTCAACCTTGATTTTCCTAAATCTAGTACGGTACTAGTATAATTATGCCGCGTGCGCATAAAATATACAGTTCCTCAGGTAGACAAAGGAACATCCCTTCCCTGCTATTATGTAAAAATGTGTAGAACAGGTGTCACATGCATGTTCACCTGTTCTACACATGTTTACATAATAGCAGTGAAGGGATGTTCTACCACGTAACAATAGGCCATTTTCGTAATGTAACCAAATTTAATGCACAGGTCTTTGTGAAGTGCCTCAATACAAACTATTTCATTCACCTGATAGGAATAATAGTATTTCAATAGACAGAATTCTAACTGCATACATTATAGTTGTTGCCAGCTAGGTTGGACAAATATTATGGCTTGACCTACCTAGCAACACTTAATATATGCAGTTGCATTCTGACTATTGAAATACTATTATTCCTATCAGGTGAATTAAATAATTTGTATTGAGGCACTTTACAAAGACCTATGCATTATATTTGGTTACATTACGAAAATGGCCTATTGTTGAGAGTAGAATGAGGAACTGTATATTTTGTCCTCTTTCTTTGTCTGTCATGTTCATATAGTGTTACTTCCTACATGCATGTATAACGTTGAGTGCAATCTAAAAGATTTCTAATTGTAGTCAACATTGAGTACGTTGACACGCATGGTCAGTTGGCGTTCGTCGTGTTCTCGTCCACTCAGTCTAAAAGTCCATACTAACTCCATGCTTAGACGTTGGCAAAAGTTATTTCAGTTATAAAATACAATAAAATCTTTTGGCTTACCTAATATGTGAAGAACTTCAACCTCAGTTCAGACGCTTATAAAAATATAATAATAATAAATGTATACAATCATGTTTGTATTCTAATTTTAGCCCGGTTTAATTCAAATTTTAAGGGCCCAGTTGCATAATAATTACCATTGATCGTAACGTTACCATTAATGGTAACTTCCATGAAAGCCCTGATTTGATTGGCTGTTGAGTGATGTTGCTATAATAATAATATTCAGCTTTTATATAGCGCTTAATAAATCTCGAACGTCTCTATTAAAGCGCCTTACATAGACCTTCAAAATGCCTCTAACGTGGATTTTTTTATTTGGAAGAATCGCTATGACGTTTTTATAATATATATATATATATATATATATATATATATATATATATATATATATATATATATATTTATGTATTTAATATTGGTATCTTACTGAAGAAGGTGAAATGTAAATTCAAGCAGAAAAGGGAGGAGTCGAAAATGGAAAAAGGAAAGAAAAGGGCAAGGGAGAGAAAGAGAAAGAGAGAGAGAGGGGAGGGGGGGGGGGGCAAACATAATGGCGGAGAGATGGGTGGAGGTCTGAGAGGGAGAGAGAGATAGACTAAGGGGAGGGCAGAGAGGAGGACAGAAAAGGAGTAGGGAGAGAGAGAGAGCGAGAGAGATGAAAGAGTTATGAGGGAGAGAAATGAGAAAGAGCGAGCGAGAGAAAGAGAGAGTAAGAAAGAAAGAAAGAAAGAGGTAAATACAGTGAAATTGACGGACACAAACACACAGACAGTCCCAGATTGGGACAAAACATTTATAGGATAGGCCTACGTGATTCTGATTGGTTGAAAGTACAGTTGTGGTACATTGGGGCTGACTCAGGAGTTCAGTGGGAGAGGGAGTGGCATAATAATCATTAGAAAGAACTGTGAGAAGAATAAAACCTTAAAATGGAGAATGAACATTCTGGGAGTTGTATAATTAAGGTACGACACTTGGCTTGTTCATCTCTTGTTCATGCCTATCATGTTTATTTCTCTCTTCATCTCTTAACCCCCGTTTTCAATATGAAAATATGAAATACGAAGAGGAAGTATATTTTGATAACGTTCTATGTGTATGAGGGGTGGAAAACAATTCATCAAATATTACTTATCAGAGCAAAAAGTCCGGTTCTGTTTATTTATGATATATATAATATATATATATATATATATATATATATGCTTCCGCCCTCTACTGGCAGATATAAGGGGAAGGGGTGATCACGTGCCCCATTCTGCCCCATTTTTTCCCCGTCTCAACTCAACTAATTTTGTTCTGCTTGTCAGAATGAGGTATGGTGCCCCCCCCCCCCGCAAAGGAGAATTCTAGATCCGCCGCTGTCCTGTCAATCAATGAATATCCCATAACGTCAACAATCATTCTTGAAAATATCTCCTCATCAGTTAATGGAAGAGCGTGAGCTCTTTTGATAAAATGCCTGTTTCAATATATAATTTGTTTAAACAATAACAAGGATTTATCATGACAAAAAAATTAACGTTATCTACTTCTCGCTAATTTCCTCACTAGTTCACCAAGTACTCTTTACAGTTCTACACAATACTGACTCACCCCCCCCCCTCTCTCTCTCTGTCTCTCATACATACATATTCATTATCTATACTGTAGTACAGCATCAACTGCAGCAATAGTAATGGCTAGGAGTAGACGCTAGTATTGTCCTCTCTCTCTCTCTCTCTCTCTCTCTCTCTCTATCTCTTCATCTTTCTGCCTCCTCCTCTCTCACTCTTTCTCTCTCTCCCTCTCTCCCACTCTCTCTCTCTCCATCTTTCTGCCTCCTCCTCTCTCACTCTTTCTCTCTCTCCGTCTCTCTCTCTCTCTCTCTCTCTCGCTATAAAGAAAAGTCACTTAAAAAAATTAATGGTACGTGTCCTCTTACGCCCTCTTCCGCAACCTAATAGAAGATTAGTTCTGTTTTCAAATCGATTCTGTTCTCGAACTGGACAAAAAATGGCAGATCAACGTGATGGAAACAGCTCACCACTGATCATAGAAAGCCCCATAGAATTCGATATGGACCGTCATGTTAACTGGGACCAAAATGAATGTAATGACGTCAGATCTGACAGAGGGGCTGTGCCTGGATCTGCTTATACCAGGGACGACCATGTAGCCATTGGTGCGCCAATGCCTAGACTCGGGCCGGAGGCGAACACTTCTCTTGTCGTTATGTGCGTTCTGACAGGAGTGGGATTAATCGTAATGTGCATCCTTTTTGTGCATGGGAAACATTCGACGAAGACATTTCTCGCCGTCTTTTACACTGTTCGTAACATCGCTACCGCTCTCATGGTCTGGTAGTCTTTATCTGGATGACGCTTAGAGTAGAGCATTTGCATGAAGAGGGATTTGTACTCTGGCCTAAGCGTTGCAGTAACTGTTTAGAAGCTCTCACTCAGATGAACACGATGAAGCTCCACGACAACTCCACCTCTGGACAGAAGACGTCCGGACTTGACAAGATGTCTGGGTTACCTCGGGAAGAATCGACACTAAAATCTTCAACAGCCAGCAATTAATGTAACTATAAATATTACTTGCATTTTCACTGGTCTGGTATTTATGTCTATATTTACCGACGCCGCCAGTATGTTTCAACAAACATTCGCATGATCCTATCGCTGAGAGAAACATGGAACTCATCGGCCAACTGATCATCTTTTTCGTCATGGTTTTGGTAGTGTTCTTTTTGAGTGTCCATATGTTAATTATCCCTAATTTTTACGATGCCTACCTTGTCTTTTTTTTA